ACCTAACAACAACAACCCAATCATTTGGAGTCCTAATGTAGTGCTGTGGAATACTGCACTAGACCAAAAGATGGGTTTGAACTGAAAGATCGGTGGTTCAAACTCGCCAGCTACTCCTCAGAAACCCTATACAGGGTCACTATGGGTCAGAACCAACTTGACAGCACTTACTAACAACAACCCAATCATTTGGACCCCTGGCGTGGTGCTGTAGGATCAGTACTGGACTGCAAACCACAAGGTCGGCTGCTCAAATCCACCAGTGGTTCCTCGGGAACCTATACAGACAGGGTTGCTATGAGTAGGAATTGACTCGATGGCACTCAGCAACAACAATCCAATCATTTGGTAGAAATTAAAAGACCAGGTAAGAAAAGCAATTCGTCTCACTGCACCTACTTTCCCATGTCTTATCAACAGTTTTTAAAAGCATTTTGCAATTACTGTCAACAGAATTTTATATCAGTTTCATTTTCTAACTCATCTTGGCTCATGTTTGGCAGTCTGTGCTTGCTTGATGCCTGATCTGGTCTAGTGATTATAGCATATGGTAATACTGAATAAATGCAAAGACAAACAGTACTAAACAATGCAAACGCTCACAGTGAAACACCAACACTACAGATTGTTCTGTAACGTTCTGCTGTATGAACAACATATACATTTAAAAACCCAACTAGCAATTTAGAAATTAGTGCACATGTTATTTCTTGACATTGGTGAGCTCAAATTAGCAACCTTTATTTTGCATTAAAATGGGTTTTGGCATTTTATCATGTTTTTGTCTTTTTTTTTTTTTTAAAGAGAAAGTAGTCATAAGCTAGAGAGGCATACAATTGATATTTTAAAAAACAATTATAGTTTGTCCGAAAGAGAAAATAACCTTACCTGCAAAGTCCAAGGAAATCAAGAATTCAAATAATTATGATCATGTCTATTTCTCATCACATTCCATATTTTTAAAATCCTCTATTTTCCAGCTGTAATTTTATATTGTATGTTCCCTAAGGGTTTTGTCTAAGTTTTCCATTCACCACAGAGTTTCAATGACAAAAAAATACACACAAAACTATTATTTGCACACTAGTTATTATGGTATTTAATAAGTAGACTGAAAAGAACATCTAATGGTTTCAGAGCTGTCATTAAGTAATCACTGATGCCAATTTTGAGGAAATCAAGAATGGAAAATTTCCAGACTTAATCAAAACTTTTTCACATTCTCTGAAAGTTCCTAGCTGTTAAAACCTAGTGGGTCACTAACTACAGTCTTTAAAAAGCAACATTCAAAACCGCAATAGGTTATAAATACTATAAACTATAAAAACTACAATTACAAGCTACTATTCAACTAAGAATAATTTTCTAAGAACAAATGTATAAATTCAATTCATTTAGAGTAACTGTCTCAAAGTTTTACTTTCATTTTCTCATTTGGGAAATGGAAACACTCAACTCAATAAACTACAAATCACACAGGAAGAGCTGGAAGTACAGAGAGAAGCACTATGTTCTTCAGCTCAGAGTGGCACTACAATTAGGCAAATGTTGACAATTTTGTGTCATCAAATCTAAAATCATCTTGATTAATATTACTCACTTAGCATTCCCCTCCTTTAGCAGGCAATATGTTTAGTTCATCTCCTCCTACTGAGGTGGCAATTAGAAGGTACCACTGGCTTGCTACTGAACCTTACATTACTGTGAAAACACAGCAGAGATCTTGGACATAAGTATGAATACATAAGTATGAATATACTGTTAAAGCAACTGAGTGAATTGAGAGTCCTGGGTATACTTTAGCTAGCTGACAGAACTCTGAAGCATTTAACACTAAGTTTACTTTGCATTCCCTATAAAATCAGTGGACCTTAAAATCGAAATGTTGGTTCCAAACTGTAAGCACTACAACTTCAGCAGCACACCAGGAAATGGCTACAGGGACTGTACTGAACTACCCGGAATCAGCAGAGTCCAGTCCCTGTTTACAGACAACATCTTTATTGCCTACAGCATCCCAACAACACACACTTTCTGTCAGGTTATCAGGTATTATATAGACATTTCAAATTTCTAATTAATCTGAATGAGATGGCTGACACAGATTTTCCAACAAATACCTGCCTGTCTTGGGGAACTTGCTTTTGAATTCTAAGTACAAATATACCATAAATCCCAGATTCTGAAAACTGGCTAACTTTTTAGGATTCATCTCAGTTCTACCCGCAAATGGTTGGAAAGAAAAGTTTTTCCTGTAATCATCATTAAAGAAAGGTTATCATTAAGAAAAGGACTATTATTCTACAAAAAAACAAATGAGTGCAATATTTGACTTAAATTGCTAGTGGATTTCCAATCTTGCTTTTAGTCTGCTCTCATTTTACTTCTAAATGCAAGCATTGACCTTGACTATACCTATTTAATTATAAATCTACATATTAACTACAAATTATGGAAGTCATACACCAAGTGAAATCTTTTCTTAAATGAGAAGCTACAGCAGACAGATTCCAAATAAATGTGAAGCATACTTCTTTCACTAATTAAGGGAGTGATATAAAAGTTTACATTCTGAGGAGAAAAGAGGGATATAATTCATTCAAAAGAAGAAAATTATGGCACCATTTAATTTTCTTCACTGTTTACTTGTTTATGCAAGAAAACTTTAATTTAGACAATCCTTGGAACTTTCTTATTTTAAATCTATAAATATTTATTGAGAGTCTACAAGGTGTCAGACAATGTGCAGAGCAGGCGAAGGTTTGTTTCTGCTAAATGCCATTGAGTTGGTTCCAACTTATAGTAACCCTGTATAGGGATTCTGAGGTTATGAATCTTTGTGGGAGCAGAAATCTTCATCTTTCTCTCAAAGATCGCCAACTTTGTGGTTCGCACTCCAGTGTTTATCCTACAGAGTCACTGTGCTCTCTAGGGAAAGGCTGTTGTTAAGTGTGGTCGAGTCACTTCCTGCTCATAGTGATCCTGCATAGGGTTTCCAAGGAGCAGCTGGTGGTTCTGAACCACTGAACTTGCAGTGAGCTTCCAGTGCTTATCCTACAGCACCATACCAGGACTCCTTATTACTCTTAGGATACACTCAGTTAAGTCTTGTTAATTAAATGATTGTCTCTTATAATCCACTACACACACTACAAGCTACACACGTTATTTCTGGGGAGAAGAAGTATGCTCATGTATCTTAGAAGGCTTTCATTTACATATAATTTATCATGCCAAAAAAAATGGAAGAAGTTATCTCTTACATATCACTTTGACTCAAATATGGTTACGGGTGATCAAAGAACCTAGAACCCAGTTAAGTTCCATGACAGTACTCAAGAGGACAGACAACAAGGGTAATATTAAGTCTTTATATAAAGATTATATGAGGGAACTTCAATAAGTTCATGGAAAAATTAAAAGATAATTGAATTTTTCCATGAAGTGTTTAACAAATATCAATTAGGCCCAATTGTACTTATTTTTAAAAGACAGAAACATTAAAGCAAGAATACCATTTACGATTCACGCACTAGAGGGTAGA